CCCGGCCAGCGCGCCCTCGCCAGCTGCGCTCGGCGTTCCGGGCCCGCTCCCCAGAGGCCTAGCCGCCTCCGCCGCGAGGGCGCGGGGCAGACAAAGGAGGCAGACAAAGGCGGGCGCAGCCGGGCGGCCGTGCGGGCACCGGGCGAGGCGGGCCCACTCCTCCCGGTGCGTAAGAGCCGCCTCGGCGCTGCCCCGAGCGCGTGGGACGGGCGGGGCGCGGGCAGCGGTGGCGCATCTGGAGCTGCCCCGCCGGGAGTGGGCGACAAAAGGCCGCGGCAGGGGGTCCCTGGCAGACCCCAACAATGGATCGGAGCTGAGCGCTCAGCCGCGGCCGCGTCTGGCTGGGTAGGGGCCGGCCAGTCCCCAAAAGGATTATTCCGCCCAGGCTGTCAAATGGGACGGAAGAAATGCCCGGTGCAAGGAAGGAGGGACGGGGCACCGCGGGGCCTTTGTAGCCTCGAAAAGTGCGCGGAGCGGTGGGGCGGGGTTCTAGGAGAGGTCGCTCTTCGATAAAGGGGTATAGGGGGGTCTTCCAACGTTACCAGGTGGGAATCCCGGGCGCTGACTGCCGCACTGGCGTGTCCCCTCCCCACCCCCCGGAGGGAAGGGAGAAATACAATTCTCCTACCCAACACACACACACACACACACATACACACACACCCCGTCTTCCTCTCGCCACGCCCCGTCCAAAGTCCGTCTGATGCTCCCCAGCCCAGCCCCGCCGGGACAAAGCCAGCCCCAGGGGAGGCTCATCCATCACCGCGTGGGGTGCCGCGTCCTGACGACCCTGGGAGTCCGGGAATGCTGTGTTATGAGTCCCGCGGCCCCCATAACTCACCGCGGGGTCAGTGGGGCCACAGGCACTGCAAAGATCAAAGAGTGGTGGGGCGGGAGTCTTGCCTGGCTCCCAGAGTTCGCCCAGTGGCTTCCATTTCGACTTGTTTTCCTCTTCCTCCAGAATGTGGCAATTATGGCTCAGAGATTTAGGAGCTCCGTTCTGTGGTCTGGCCAGATGCCTGGGCTTATCTGCGGATTGCCATTCCTGGTCCCCTCCGGCAAGGCGCCCAACCTCTCTGAGCTCATTATCATCATCCCTAACTCTTGGAGTTCAAGGATTAAGTGCGATGGCCTTTGTAAGGAGATAATGTTCCTAAGATCCTGACCTCATGGGAAATGCTCTAGAAAAATTAAGTGCTATTGTTATTGTAATATTATCAGCCTGATGGGCACCAGGATGGACTGGCTTCTGAGCAGAGACCCAAACTGATAGGCTTTAGCTAATTCCTTCCAATTCCTAAAGTTGGGAATAGACTGCTGTAGGGCAGGGACAAAAGTGGGGAGACAGGAACTGTGGCTTGGATGAGAGGGGGGTCTGTGGGCATGATTCTCCTTTTCAGGAATGAAACTGTGGCCAGGTATTCACTGCGGACTCTGGTTCAAAGGCTGCTACTCTGGCTCTTCACCAGTGGGGTGATCTTTTTTTTTTTTTTAAGATTTTATTTATTTATTTGACAGAGAGAGAGAGAGAGCACAAGTAGGCAGAGCGGCAGGCAGAGGGAAAGGGAGAAGCAGGCTCTCCTCAGAGCAGGGAGCCTGATGCGGGGCTCCATCCCAGGACCCCAGGATCATGACCTGAGCCGAAGGCAGACGCTTAACCAGCTGAGCCACTCGAGCGCCCCACCAGTGGGGTGATCTTATGTCAAGCTCTCTGTTCTCTGGGTTGTCCCAGAGTGATGCAGTGGAAAAAGACCGATGTGAGGAGAGGCCTAGCCCATTGTGGTTATGGTGACTTTGGGCCTCAGTTTCCCCCAGAGTTGTATGCCCAAAGTGGAAACCACTCAAATATCCATCGACTGATGAGTGGATGAAGAATATCTGGTGGATTCATACAATGGAATATTATTTGGCCATAAAAAGGAATGAAGTACCTATACACGCCACAATGTGGATGAATCTTGAAAACATTATGCCAAGTGAAACAAGCCAGATATAAAAGGCCACATGTTGTATGATTTATATGAAATGTTCAAAATAGGCAAGCCCATAGAGACAGAAAGTAGTCTAGGGGTTGCCTGGGGCTGGTGGAAGGGGAGACGGGGGTGGGGAGGTGACCGCTACTGTGTGTGGGGTTTTTCTTTTTGGAGTGATGAAAATGTTCTGGGATTAGTGCTGATTACTGCACAACTTACTAAAACCCACTAAATTGCATACTTTAAAGATTTTATTTATTTACTTGTCAGAGAGAGAGAGAGAGCGAGAGAGAGCGCGCATAAGCAGGGGGAGCGGCGGAGGCAGAGAGAGAAGCAGGCTCCCCACTGAACAGGAAGCCCAATGCGGGGATCGATCCCAGTACCCTGGGACCATGAAGGCAGATGTTTAACCGACTGAGCCACCCAGGCGTCCCTAAATTGCGTACTTTAAAGGGAGAACTTCATGGTTGTGAAATGCATCTCAATAAAGCAGTTATTTAAAAAAAAAAAAAAGTGGCAGTTGAGCTGGATCAAGGGTTCTTACCCTGTGGTCTGGGATGACTTCAGAAGGCCCAAGAACCCCTGAAATTGTGGAAGACATTTTGTGTCTCTGGGTGGAGGTTCTAAGTTTAAGAATAGATGATTTGTAAGGTCCTCCTGACCGACAAGGAGTCAATGATATTGGGGAGTTGACAAAACACCAGGGAGGGGATGGCATGTGTAGGCTCTGCCCTGGCTAAGGTGCTGGAAGCACCCAGTGTTGCTGGCCTAAGGTCAGGGCCCTGGCTTGGGTCCGAGGTCAGCAGAGGATCCAGGGAGCTGTGTAGGTCAGGCCTCATCTCAGAAGGCCTGATCACAGAGGGGAGGAGCTGAGTGTGGGCCACAGTCCCTTGCCTTTAGGCATCTTGGCCATGGGGATACATGTCCTCCCTTAGGGCACCTTGGGGGCTGCCTTTTTGGAAATGGGGAAGGGGGTGCAGCTGAGGATGTTTTAGATGGGGTTTTGTTTTTTTTGTTGTTGTTGTTTGTTTTTAAAGATTTTATTTATTTATTTATTTGACAGAGAGAGACACAGCGAGAGAGGGAACACAAGCAGGGGGAGTGGGAGAGGGAGAAGCAGGCTTCCCATGGAGCAGGGAGCCCGATCAGGGGCTCAATCCCAGGACCTTGGGATCATGACCCAAGCCGAAGGCAGACGCTTAACGACTGCGCCACCCAGGCGCCCCTAGATGGGGTTTTGAAAAGCATGGTGGCTGGTACGGAGTGGTTGCTCTCGGTGCTTACATAGTGTGTGTGGAGATTTTTTTTTTTTTTTTAAAGATTTTATTTATTTATTTGAGACAGAGAGAATGAGAGAGAGAGAGAGCACATGAGAGGGGGGAGGGTCAGAGGGAGAAGCAGACTCCCTGCCGAGCAGGGAGCCCGATGCGGGACTCAATCCCGGGACTCCAGGATCATGACCTGAGCCGAAGGCAGTCGCTTAACCAACTGAGCCACCCAGGCGCCCATGTGTGTAGATCTTAATCTCATTGTCATAACAGCACTAATGGAGAATTTATGTGTCAGGCATTGTGGACTTTACATTTTTACAAACATCTCACTTGTTTCCTGCCCACCTCCCCACCCCCATCCCCCAGCCCTACGGAATCGGTTCTACCATTATCCTATTTACAGATGAAGAACCTGAGATTCAGAGAGGAAGGACCTCACAGCTGGCTAAGGAGCAGTGGTGGGGAGAGGAGCGGTGCCTTATGCACAGGGACAGCCTGGTGGGTGCGGGGAGGGGGCACATAGACAGCATCCCCCAGCTCTTGCTTCATTTTTGAAAGCCACTCTTCTCTGCACACCACCACCTGTAGCTCAGGCACTGAAATCCCAGGTCTTTGTTCTCATCCAGAATAAGTCAGGATTCAAGTGGGGCAAGTGGCAATGAGTCACTGTGCACCCTTACTTCCTCTCTCTGGTCTTTCATTAATTCATTTGCATGCACTCACTGAGAACCTGGGTATGGCCAGGCACTGGGTGAGGTGCTGGACCAAAAGTATGAACAAGGCTGGGTCTCTGCTCAGGGGACTTTCCAACTGGCTGGGTCCTTGAGCAGCAGGGGACCAGTGGGATTGTCACCAGGCTTTATGTGGCTGACTCTCTGAGCACCCCCCCCCCCAGGTCCCTTCCTGTGTTTGGTGTCTTAGGAATCTTAGACAGGGATGGGATGAATGTTGAGTCTTGGGAGGACTTTGGAAGCATCTTAGGGGTCTGGACCCTTCATCGCCTGTTGTTTTACCCAGTTCACTAGTTACGTGTTTGTTCAGGGGACCCCAGGAATTCTCCTTTGCCCCTGAAGGCCTTGGTCTTTGCAAGACTTTGTTACATCTTGCCTTCTCTTGGTTTCAATTTAAATGTGTCTTGGGAGTGATTTTCTTTCTGTCCTCATTGCAGACCCTCAGGGACCTGCTCCAGTTGGCAAATAAGCTCTCTCTCCTCCTAAACATCCATCCTTTCCTCCCAGATGCCTTCCTACATATTGTCGTTATGGTGAAAAATATGCAAATAACTTTGAAAAACAGTCAACCAGCAAATGGGTATTCAAAAATGTAATAAATTAACCCCATAATGTAATCTGGGTCCCAAGACTATCCATCACGCTGATGGGCTTAAGATCTAGAAACCCAGATGCCGCAGAGCCCTATGGATAAAAATGACAGATGAGTCCTCATAGAGCTCCCCCTTGGCCCCCCCGCCTCCAGCTTCTTGGCCCCCGTGGAACCCAAGGCTATGTTCATTTCACAAACGAGGAGACAGAGGCCTTTTGGGGGTTAGGGGGCAGATCAACTTGAATCCTTCCTCATCTGTCTCCCCGCCTGCCTTCCTCTGCTTATGGCTGGCTTTGAATCCAAAGCCTCAAATGTAGGCATTTCGTCCATGGGTTTCTAGTTGACAAGGCAGGTGCCCCAAGTGTCAAACAAAAGCTGTTGAGACCTCACTTTCTGCATATGAAAAATGTTGAGTGATGGGTCGGATGTCCGCCAAGGTTTCTTTGAAGTGCTTTAGCTCCGTGGGTCAGGAGACCGACAGGTGGCTTGTACTGTGTCTTCTCAGGGCAGGGGGCTAAGGCTGGGGGCCTGGCATGAGACCCCACGGTGCTCACACTATACCCTGGAGGCCACCCCACAGGAGTAGCTGGACTCTGAGCTTCCCACCCCAGGATCCAATCCTAAGAAACCCTTTACAAGGAATTGCGCCCCCCCCCCAAGACTGCCACTTCCAGTTGCCACTGAAAAAAAACTGCTTGAACAACCTCCAGAGAGGGGCAAAGGACCCTTGCTTTCTCCAGCGCTAAAGTATCCACAATGATGAAATCTCAAGGAGCCAGGGGACACTGTTTACAAGCCATTGAGCTGCTCAACTCCTGTGGCAATGGTCCTCTCCTACATGGCATGACATGGGCAGGGTCCCCAAGTCTTGAGAAGGGCTGTTGTGCCCAAAATGGGCTGCCAGGTGTATCAATTCTTGAAATAAATCATCTATCACTTTGGGGTAAGCATGGAAATTGTATGAAATGCAGACTTTCCTTGGGAACAGCCCAGACTGCTTTGGCCATTCCCATACTTTTTTGGGCATCAGGGCCCTTCGGGAACTTGTTAAAGGGCCAAAACCCCGCTTTGCACCCAGACTGGTCCAGAAGGTCAGGGAAGCCTGGGTTCCAGGTGTTTAATGGGCTCCCGGGGGGGGGGGGGATTCTGATGCAGATTTCCGAGGACTGCCTCTGAGAAATGCTTTGCTGGTATTCCTGGCTTAATGGGCCAAGTTACTTATCCCCTCCCCTGCCTTCACCCCATCAGAATGGGCAAATGCGGGTTTGAAGGCATCCGGAGTGAAAAGGGGTACAGGTCTCCAATACTGAGCTGTAACCGATTAACATTTCTGGGGAGATCTATGTACCCACAGGTGGGCGTGACTCCTAACAAGCTCTTATGTCCCTGGAGGTCAGGGACAATGCCCCAGGC